AAGAAAAATGTAGCCAACATGTAATGAAGATGCAAATATTCGGCTCTGTGACAGAATGATGGGGTTCCTGCTGCAGGATTTCTATTTGGTTTTTACTGTTTTGTTTTTATAAAGCACCAACTCAACCAAACAGAAACCAATGTCTCATAGAAAAAAGAAATGCTTGAACCACTTTATTACAATGGAGTCTGTATTCTGCAGCTGTGTTTTTTTTTGTGCTTGAGCCCGATCAGATGAACAGTGAAACGCTTATGACCCCTGCTGGTCATATTAGTGAACTCCAAACACAGTTGGAGCCCAAAATGAAAACAAAGGAACTTTATTTAAGTTTTCTTATTCAGTTACTTAAACCAGAATAAGAAAGACTCAGAATTCACTTTCTCTTTGCATAACTTCTTCCTCTTATATATAAAAGAAAGGCAGATATGATTTATCGGCAGGGGAGTGAGGCATAGTGGGTAGGGCATTGCGATTGGTATCCACAGGTTCTGAGTTCAAGCCCCACTGCCCTGTACTGACACTCTGGGACCTGAGTGAAGTTTCCCCCCCCCACCTTCTTCAAATTAGACAAAATTAGTGTCAAATGTTTGTGCAGAAAAATTTTTTCGTTTGTGCCGCTATCGTTTTAAAGATATAAAGAAATATTTCTAGAGGTCATCAAAGGTCAACTAGCACCCCCACCTTCTTCAAATCAGACAAAATGGGTGTCAATTAACTCAGCTCCGTTTGTGCAGCTAAAAAATTTTGCTTGTGCTGCTCTGGCTTTGAAGATATTAATGAAAATGTAAAGGTCAAAAGGTCAACCAGCCCCCCCCCACCATCTTCAAATTAGATAAAAAATTTGTGTCAAACGTTTGTGCAGCAAAAATTTTCGTTTGTGCTGCTTTGGCTTTGAAGATATAAATGTAAAGATGTAAGGGTCAAAAGGTCAAAACCCCCCCCCCCCCCCCCCCCCCCCCCCCCACACACACACCTTCTTCAAATTAGATTAAAAAAATTTGTGTCAAACGTTTGAGCAGCAAAAATTTTCGTTTGTGCCGCTACCATATTAAAGATATAAAGAGATGTTTCTATGGGGGGCTTGTTGACCTTTGATGACCTCTAATTTAAAGAAGGGTGGGGGGGCTGGTTGACCTTTTGACCTTTATATTTTTATTAATATCTTCAAAGCCAGAGCAGCACAAATGAAATTTTTTGCTGCACAAACGGGGCTGAGTTAATTGACACCCATTTCGTCTGATTTGAAGAAGGTGGGGGGGCTGGTTGACCTTTGATGACCTCTAGAAATATTTCTTTATATCTTTAAAACGATAGCGGCACAAACGAAAAAATTTTCTGCACTAACGTTTGAGACAAATTTTGTCTGATTTGAAGAAGGTGGGGGGGCCAACTTAACTCAGGTCACTTTGGGGTCCCTGAGCAAGACCCTTAACCCCGCACTGCTCCCTGGGCGCCGCACAATGGCAGCCCACTGCTCCCCAAGGCGATGGGTTAAATACAGAGGTATATTTTGTGAGACAGTGTAATGACAAGAAAGAAGCTGATAAGACACCAAAAATATAATACGCTAATATTTGTTTTTTAAAGTAGCTATTCTTTTCTGAAAAAAGTGCATCCTCCTGAGCTGAAATAAATGTTCAATATTAAATGATTATATGCACAATATTAACCACTAGTCTTTATGTTTACATGCTTTAGCAGCTGCCAATAAGACTTCTTTACAATTTTTATTTCATCAGTCTTTAACCCTTTAAAGCCCGACCCAAGAATAAAACAAAACAGAAAATTAGTTTTTTTTTGTTTGAATTCCTTATTTGCCCTTTTAACAAAATATGTAAAAAGAAAAAACAGAATTTTTTTTTTTGATATTAATAATTTATTACTATGTGATAAGTCAACATTATTTTTTGTGTAGTCTTCTACTGGCTGTTATCAGGTATATCTGATTGTGTACAATAGGATTTTGAGCAAAGTTTTTACCATTAAATTATGCAAAAGGTGCCAGACGCAAAACATTTCAGAAACCGTATGTATCAAATATGATACATTTGGCATTATAGGGTTAAAATGCAATTTAAGACATTCATTTAAGCTGAACTTAAGGAAAAATAAGTTTTAAAAAATTGTTTTCAGCTATACTTTTGGGGTAACATTGTTTTCTGAATACTCTTGTAAGATGGCAGGAACAAAACCTTTGGCGTAATGATTTTGTGGAACGTTGAGCAGAACTTTTCCATGTTATTCAAATTAAGAATTTCTACCTGGACCTTCCGTGTGTCCGTTTCACTAACGCCTTAAAACTCTCCCCCATTCCCACCTACTCCTTTCACTGAGACACTTTCTTTAACAGCCCTCTCACATATTCAATATGCACTAAGTCAATTTTGTATACTTATATAAAAGCATTTCTGTGTAGATATAGCAAATTATCCCCTTTTATGTTCCCCAACCCTCTGTAATCTACCCAGCCAACCCCAACTATCTAATTAGTTTGTCCCATCTAATTAGTTTGGGTCTATACCTGACTATACCAGTGTTTGCTCTATGGAGTGTTTGTAGAGCATGCAAAAACAACTTCAGTGTAATTGAGGTAATATCATTCTCCCTCAGCAATCATCCTCTAGGGAAATAACAGCTTAAAAAGCTGAAATCTTTAGGTTAATCGATGCAGAAAAGATTATATAAATAGTTTTTTCCCCTGAACGTGACTCTACAGTTTTTTCTCCACTTCATTCTTTGTAACAGTAAAAAAAAAAAGGCTCCTAAAGGCTGATTTTCTTATGGGATTTTTCAAACTTACACACAAAAATAATGACATAAAATCCCCCATAATGCAATACTGCAAATACAAAAGTTGCTGAGCAGTTTTAAAATGTTGATTAAAAAGGTTTGTTTAATTTAACAGGAATGATCAGACAAAGGCACAGAATGCATAAACATAAAACTAATTGATCACAGTGCACCAGAGATAAACAAAGAATGTAAACGAGATCACAGTTCTGCATGGAAAACGTCTTCAAATGTGTCGAAAACAAAACGAGAAGAAAAACAGAAGTAATTAGTAAAAACGAAAAAAGGTGCAACAAACATCATCAGTGGTCCTTGTACATGTGTGCCATCCTCATACTGTAATGTTAATGAGATAAACATACATTACTTTAGTGATTCCAAAAAATATTGGCTTGTAGTTAATCACAAAAAACAGAAATGTTCTCTGAAACGTAAGGCAGGTTTTATAAGAACCATCTTTTTTTTTTTTTTAAGAAACAAAGCCTTATCTCACAGTATAATCCACCACTTCTACATCACATTATTAAAAAAGAGACTAAAGAACCTGGATAAGCTCTTAAGACTTTTATAAAACCAAAAAAAAAAAAAAAAACATTATAAGAGATGATTTTTTTTTTGTGCATGTGTATGTCTGGCTGCACTAGAGTACTGTTGTGTTGCTGTTACTATGCTACCGGCACGATAAAGCAGCATTATTGATTTTCTTTTTTTTTTTTTTGGCCTTTAAGAGACAAGACAGCTAGTTTTATCAGACTCTAGCAGTAGTTCACTGTAGATGTTTATGGATCTCTCATATCAACATTAATGACACTTCTTTGCACTTTTCTTCAGCAAGTCCCTCCTGTAAATCCCAACTGTAAAACACTCACTCTTTTAAGAATAATTCTATAAATAGTGCTCCTAGAAATCAAATATATTGCACATTAAAAAGCAACAGTTAAATGAGAAAGAAGTCATATTAAACGAGAACGCAGAGGGTGACAGAATTAAAATATATGGCAGGACAGCCTGAAGTTTCTCCCTTACGTTGAATATTCTAACATTTCTGAACAGTGTGTTTGTTAGATAAGCTCAAAGTGAAAACATGTCGATGCTTTTATAACACCTCCGTCCACACGCAGCTGACTCTGCAAACCTCAAACTTTAACATGAAGAGGCTCTTTTCTGTTTTCTGCTTTGCATTTTCCAGAGAACATTTGAGGGTTTCAGGTGTGGCAGGTTTAGTAATTTGTAGATATAACCTAAATAGGCAGCTATAAGCACTAGCCTACAATAGCTAGAAATCAAGTAAGTGTATTTTAATTATGGTGCCAGGTAAAAGTTTGACAGCATCTCATCTCAGAATGTCAAATAACGAGTTAAACGCAGCAATTGAGGCCAAGCTAAGCTAATTACCTGCTAGACCGCACTAACTACAAACAAGGAAACAAGTATTTATGAAAAGTTTCCAACTATTCTGATAGAGAAAAATCATCTCTTCCTCATAGAATAAAATATTTCAACGTTTTAGTTGACAGTAGTCTGATTGTTTAGCTCACAATCTGGAAATAGTTTGAAGCTTTAGCCTAGCTCTGTGTAAAACTAAAAGTACAATATAAATTTTTTTTTTTATTTTAGATTAGATTTTAACTCGTTTATGAAGCTCAAATTAGAATCTGTTTTTAAAATAAAATGCTCAACTTTGTTGGTACCAATTGGCTGCAGAAAGAAGGTTTAATTTAGAATTACTGGAATAAAGTTCTTCCAAATGAAGAAGCTGATCTAGTTTGCATATTTTAGGGAGTGTTTTTTTAACGCTAGTCTTAATTAGGGTGATTAACAAAACCATGAAATATTAATGTGAAGCTAAGTAGGGCTTAATGGTTGAATATCATTAGTTCACTATTTTAAAGAAAACAAGATTTATTTTTAAAGTGTTTGAAAACCAAAGCTCTTCAGTTTGAAAGCTTGTGAGGCTTGTTTGCTAATTTGGTTAGCATCTTGTTTTTGGAGTCTGAGCTCAGTGTCTTTATGTTAATTTTACCAGATGTTTAAAAAAAAAAGAACAAAACAAACAAAAAAATCAAAAGAAGGATATTTTTGAGGTGCCTGATGAACAAAAAAATGCTTAGAAACACCTTTTTCCTGACTGAGTTAGGTCATAACATGAATTTAATAAAATGGGACAAAATAATGTTTTTTTTCCCCCTAAATAAACAAACCTACTCACCTTTTTTTTTTTTATCTGTCCTTAACCAATTAAATTTTAAGACAACTTCATTGATAAAGTAGAGACAATTTACTGTAACATACAAATTGTTTAAGTTTAACAGAGAGGTAAACACATTCAAATTCCATTTGAAAGCAAAATTAAAAAACATCCTAAATTTGATTTAAGTCTGTTTTTAAAAATACGAACCTCTAAAAATGGTCGCCTCTTCTGAAGATTGTACAACCAATCTTCTTTGACGCTTCTATCAAAACTAACAGACTAAGATATTTTCCGAAAGGTCTCAACATTGTTAATCAGGCATCAGGAGCTTGTCTATGGCAAACTGTAAACGGTCCCAGTTCTTCCAGAACACGGTCAAAAAGCACACGCCCAGCAGCGTGGCTACCATATGATAGCGGCTCTTCAACAGCGGAGCGGCAAACTTGGCCGCGGTGGAGACGCACACCAGGATGACGGTGATGATGGCCAGCATGATGTTAATGCTCTTCCCCAGTAAGACCCGAGCGTCTGGGCTCTCCAGCTGCACCGTTTGCTGCTGGTGCTGCTGCTGGAGCTCCAGCTTTGACACGCGTGTCTGACATGACTCCAGGGCTTCCTGTGACACATTGGAGAGATGAAATCAATCAAAAAGCTTTTGGGTTTGCTTCAATTTTTTTCTGATATTTTAACTATAAAATGACTACATCAGTTTAAAATACATTAAAAAAAAACTATCTGGTTCACATCGCCAAAAAGTGTCCTTTTAGGCGATGTGACAATAAGAACAATTGTCTTGATTGAACAGATTTTGCTTTCACAAGTGAAGCAGTATGTCTATCGCCATAGTGTTCCACTTGATTTATGCATATACCGTAAATTCCAGACTATAAGCCGCTACTTTTTTTCCCGCTGTTTGAACACTGCGGCCTATAATACAGTGCGGCTAATACATGTTTTTTTTCATGGCGCGAAAAACAAAGTATTTGCAATCACTGGACATCAGTGTGAACCGTGCATTCAAAGTGGCACTGTGCAGTGAGTGGGAGACGTGGATGACCAGCGGCGAGAAATCCTTCACCAAAACTGGCCGCATGCGAAGGGCATCTTTCACTGATGTCTACCAGTGGGTTCTCAATGCGTGGACCTGTGTGAAAACACCCAGCATCACCGGCGGGTTTCGGAAGGCTGGGCTGCTGCGGGATAAAGAGGACCGCGAGTGCTCAGGTGAGAGCGACAAGGATGAGACTGAAGTCAGTGACGGCATCCTGAAGCTGTTCCATTCAGACACCGAGGAAGAGGACTTTGAGGGTTTTAGTGCGCAGGAGGAAGAAGAAAGCGATTAATGACTTTTCCTGGTCGGCTGCAATGTTCTGCGCGTTGTTCAATTAAAAGTACCGGTATATGCAGCGTTATTTGCGTGTTACCGACACATACGTATATTTAAATGTGTTACAGGTAGTTTAAAAAAAAAGCATTCATAATATGTACCGTATTTGTTTGTTTTATCATACGGATTAAATCAAACGTTTAAAAAATGCTCACGTGTAATATCTTTATTTGTAAATATCTCATACAACGTGGAAAACCTGCGGCTTAAAATCAGGTGCGGCTTATAAAAGCACAAAATAGATTTTCTTTATAAAATTAGAGCGTGCGGCTTCTAATCAGGTGTGCTCTATAGTCCGGAATTTACGGTAAATTGCTATATTATAACTTATGCAGGGAGTATTACAGATTATATGGACACTGCAATGTAGAATAAGAAAAGGAAAAACTGGAAAAAAAGGAGAAAAGATGGAAGAAGGAGGAGATAAAAGGGAGATAACGATAAAACATCTTCAGTCTGCTTCATCACCTGTAAATAGATGTAAAAAAAAAAGCACAACCAACAGATATAGTATAAGAGATACAATAAAATAAGACCTTGAAGGAATTTCACTTCATGCAGCTATCTTAATTTATTTGAATCCCTTGCCCTGTTTTTTTATTTCATGCTTTTCTGTTCCCCCAGGAAAACACGTTGGCCCCCTGAAACATTTGGTCTAGAATCTCCATAAACTATCGCTGAAGAATAAGCGGTATTATTAACTATTTTAAATGTCCAAATATTCAAATTATGACTGCAGAAGTAAGAGGAACAGATCAGAAAAAATAGCTCATGGTGCTATTTTCTCTGTTATTGGTCAACTTCTCCTTCCCCTGTTTAAATTCAATACCAATCTTTCACTCAATCTTCTTTTGGGTGTTTCCTCTGAGTACTTCTGGAACCAGTCCAAGTACCACTAATGGTGCAATGAAATAGCATACATACAATACAATAAAATATTGGAATAGTCCTGAAAAAAATACTGAAAAGGACTGCATTGAATGGAAGTGAAGTCTTGGGGATCCCTTCAAGGCTGCTGAAAATAACCAAAAAAGTGGCTTACTTCAGAGATGGCAAAAGTACTCACTTTCCGTACTTGAGTAAAAGTACAGATACTTGTGTTAAAAAATACTCTGGTAAAAGTGGAAGTACTGATTAAACTTCTTTACTCAAGTAAAAGTAACAAAGTACAGGCTTGTAAATTTACTAAAAGTATAAAAGTAAAAGTAGAAACCACTTTTTTCATGCCGTTGCCTACATTTTAAATGGATGTCTGCCAATAGGACTAGATCTCCGTTGTGTTCATTTTCAATCATCTCGTCGTCCATGCTACTATGCTAACGCCACCGCCACCAAGCTGCAATGATTTGCCGCCAATGAATACCGCCGAATCTGTCGATTCATCTTGTAGTGGTGTGTCAAATACAACGTAGATTCCCATCCAATTAGATTGAATTTGGCATTGATGACGTGAAAAATAATAACAATAACTCCATTGAAATGATTCAAAACTAAAGTAACGAGCCAATTTTTTAAAATGTAAGGAGTAGAAAATACAGACATTTGTGTAAAAATGTAAGGAGTAGAAGTAAAAAGCCGCCATAAAAATAAGTAGTAAAGTAAAAATATCAGAAAAATCTACTTAACGAAGTATTTGTACTTTGTTACTTCCCATCTTTGGCTTACTTATAGTATTTCTAGCAGTGACGGCTGCCCAATAGAGGGGGCTAGGGCGCCGCCCCACCCACCCAATGGCCCTGATGGATTAATACATTAAAAAAATATATGTATAGTTTTTTATAATTCAATTTCAAATTAAAATGTAAAATCTTTAATGAATCTTTAATGACTAGTATTCATTCCATTTTTTGTTGGATTGGTGACGTATTTCCGCCATAGGGTGCAAAAATCTTTGCCCATTGACTCCCATTAAAAGTTGCACATGCGCAGTAGCTCCTCTGCAGTACAAAGATATAGGAAAGCTCAGGGCGCAGGAGAGCTGCTCCCTAAGGTGACAGGAAGTGTATTTGCTCACCACCTTCCAACACAGCGCAGACGGTTTACGAGGGTTGAAGATGCATTGGAGAGAAAGAGAAATGGCACAAGAAACGTCTTTTTCCAGGACCTGGTTTAGCAAGAAGGCTGACTGCCTGTTTCCTTTTTCAAATGTCAGGATCTGAGCCAGCATGGATAAAGACGGCTAGGACTGATTTAAAGCACTTTTTAGGAAAGGCAAAGAAGAATGAACAATCTGGGATTCACATGGAAAATAATATAGTGTACTTTTTCAAGGTGATTATTAATTTGCATGGTTGCTCATAAATAAACACATTCTCAAAAAAAAAATAGTATTTTATATATATAAAAAAATATAAAGTTGACTAACAGATTTATATTATTTTTAGGTTTGTGACAAAATATTGGACCGTTTAATACACAGATTTACCTTCACAAAAAGTGTACAAAAAGTAAATGGTAAATGGCCTGTACTTATATAGCGCCTTTTTTCAAGTCAAGAGACTTGTCCAAAGCGCTTTACACTACATTCAGTCATTCACCCATTCACACACACACTCACACACTGATGGTGGCAAGCTACATTGTAGCCACAGCTGCCCTGGGGCTCACTGACAGAAGCGGGGCTGCCGTACACTGGCGCCACCGGGCCCTCTGACTACCATCAGTAGCCAATGCAGGTGAACTGTCTTGCCCAAGGACACAACGACACTGAAAGTCGGAGCCTTGAACCGTCAATCCTTCGATTTCAGGGCAAACTCCTACATCCGACGCCACTGTCTCCCTATACAAAAAGTAAACCTCTAAATGAAATTATATGTTGTTTTTATAAAGTGTTTTTCAGTTTTTTGTTGTTAGCATTCATACAAACATACTGGTGTGATAACTTGCTTTGATTGGGTTTTTGGTATACGTCTATTTTGAATTTATAGCCCCCCCTGATGAAAACTCCAGCAGCTGCCACTGGCTTCTAGCAGTACTATTACTGCTAACTTATTGTACGAACCTGTATGTCACGAGCCCTTTCATGAGCCTGGTAAGCCACCCTCTCCTCGATGCTAGCCAGCTCCTGCTTCAAATTAGCCATCTCATTTTGATGAAGCTCTGTTAGGTCATTCAACTGGTCCTCCAGATGCTCGTACCTGTCAATCAGGAAACAAGAATACAGATTAAAAGAAAGATGCATATATTTAAAGAGATAAATATAGAATTAAAGGATTTACAATCTAAAATCTGGATATGAATATTATTCCACTTAATCTGGGGCTGCAACTAACGATTATTTTAAAAATCGATGAATCGGCCGATTATTTTTTCGATTAATCGATGAATCGGACAAAAAATATTTTTTTTATATTAACCTCTTTATTCCAAAATAAACATTTTAGACAGAACAAACAAGCACACAAGTACAGGTTGCTCATTAACTGCACTGGTGCAATATGAAAAATAAATGTTTGTGTTAAAACTACGCAAACTTACATGAGAAATGTAGCTGTACATCCACAAAATATAGGCTACTTTGTTTCATAAAGTGCAAAAAAAGACATTTTTGTTTTTAAAAGCCCCTAAGGGGTTCAAACAATGGGCCCCCCATTTCAACAAATGAGTTTTTTTTTACTAGAAGAGTTCTGCCTTTTAAGACAGGAAAGTATAGCAGTTAAAGTTGCTACTTGAGAAAATACTGAACCATAGAGATAAAAATAGCCCTGTGATTCAAATTATAAATTGTATTTGGAATAAAAATGAGAGAACTAGGGGTGCTAAAAAACACATCCTCCAAAGACAGATATTTACATGGGAATGTGGCAGATAATTAATTGACATATTACTGATCTTGCTGGATTTTATTCTGCTTTACTTCAATAAATTGCAGGATCTTTACTTTATCTTTGCCAGAAGATTTAAACTTTAAAAGCCTTTCCCTCATAATTTGCAAGTTAATTTATTTATAAAGAAAATCTAAACGCTAATTAAGCTAATTCAAATAAAAGTAAAATAATTAGCCAACCTTATCACTGTCTGTAACCCACTAACAAGGTAAGGAAAGCATCAGATGAGCTACCTGAGAAACTAACGTTACGTTTCCCCACTTTAAAACAAAACAAACATGGTTACTCATCCTGCTGATCAGCTTTCTTCACTGTCATTGAAGGCTCCAGCATGTTTTCTTTTCAGGTGCTGCATCATAACAGTGGTGCTTCCGTGCCATGTTCATTTGTTTTTACAAAAGTTGCATGTTACGACTTTTTTCCGCTTTACAAAGCGCAGGCTGTCTGCGAATTGAGACGCAGCTTGCGTTTGCGGTGTCGGTCAATAGAGCGCTGACTCGCTCTGCCGTATTTTTTTTTTCTGCCCGCGTTTCAATCAAGTGGCAGTGATGACGACGGCGGCGGATGACGCATTAATCACGCGAAACAACTAATCGATGATGAAATTCGTTGCCAATGCTTTTAAAAGTCGATTTTTATCGTTTTTATCGATTCGTTGTTGCAGCCCTAACTTCATCCCAAACAGTTTTATAACTTCCAAGCAAACAAGCGTTCTGCTGGACCGTGTGATGGGGAAGCAGAGAGGAACTCACCTGTACCTCTCCTCTTGTAGTGTTTGGCTTAGAATACTGTACTCTCTCTTGAACTGATCTTTGATCACCTCCATGTCCTCCTCCAGCTGGCTTTGAGCTTCTTTGATCTCTCTCACCTCCTCGTAGCACAGCTCCAATCTTCCCTGACTCTCTCCCCCTGCTTGCTGCCCCTGAACCGGACTCTGCAACGGTCTGACCAGGGCCCCCCCCACAGCGGGGTTCCCGTTGCTGTCCGCTGAAATGGAGGAGCACTCATCATCACTGGTGTACTTGGGCTTGCTCACCAAAGAGGTGCTGCTGCTCAGCCCTTTTCCTGCACTGTCAGAGGACATCGTAGAGGGCGTGTCGAGATTGGTTTTGAGGTGAGAGATGTTATCTGCGCTCCCAAACTTGTTCCTGATGAGGTTGGCGAACTCTCTGGGTTTGCTGAAAAAGAAAGGAGGGGAGAGAGAAACGCCGGGTCCGATGGTTTTGATCTTGTCCATTGTCGGGTGGCGGCCGCTGCCGGTCATGTCCCTCAGCTGTCTGGGTGACTCCCTGGGTATGGTGCTGCGTTTGGCTGAGGGAGGCCTGGGAGGCGGGCTGTGAAGAACTTCACTGTCCTTCATCTTTCGGTGGTACTGCTCCAGTTTCTTCTGCATCTGTGCGATGTTTTGGGACGACTTGTGGTTCCTCTTCTCAAATGCCTGTTTGATGCGTCCCAACTGCTGCTTGTCCACACTGTTCACCAGCTTCAGATACTCTGCCACGTTGGCGTCCCGCGCAGTCTGCTCGATCTTCAGCTGCTCGGTGACTTTCAGGATCTTCTGCTGGAGGTTGTCCAGGCAGGAGCGACTTCGCTGGACCTCCGAGAAGGAGGAAGACCGAGGACTCCCATCTGTGAGGTCCAGGTCCAGGTTGTTGTCAGAAGAACCCCGACGCATTGATGAAGGCAGGCTAAAAAATCCACCCTCTGTGCTCCGGTCCTGCAGCACAAAAAAAAAGGAAGCTCCATTAACAGAGAAGAGCTTCTGCAAGCAAAATGTGTCTCATCAGCAAAAGTATCCCTCGCATCCAGGAGGAAATGAAAGTACAATTTCATGCCTTATCAGTCCACAGGGTATGTGCATGACTTTAGAAATGATGCATTCCTTTGAAAAGAATTTTCTGCTTAGGTTTACAGTTCCAACTTCAATAACGATCATTCTTTTTTTCTTAGTGGTTGCATTAAGTGTAACTTTAAAGGTTTAAACAGTTTTTGATTCTCAGGTTGATGTTTATTAAAAATCTTTGAAATCAGGGTTCGTCCTTTAACTTTCAAAACTTGAGTATGAAACTTTAAAATATTATTTGCACTGCAAAAACAACCCAGAAATGAGCAAAAATGTCTTCAATAAAGTGTATTTAGCCTTAATTTGAGTTGGTAAATAAGATAATTTGCCAATGGAATGAGTACTTTTACTCTTAAAGTAAGATAATTAGATAATATGCTCTTGAAATAAAACAAGGCAATTGTTTTTTTCTTATTTTAAATATAAATTGTCTTTTTCCATTGGCAAAGTGTCTCACTTCATCCTCATTGCAAGAAAAAATTACTTATTTAGATATCTTTTTTTGCAGTGTGCATTCTATATTGCAAAGCTGATCTAGAAATAAGTCAACATTTCTCAAATTAAGTGTATTTAGCCTTAATTTGAGTAGGTAAATAAGATGATTTGCCAATGAAATTAGGATTTTGACTCCTAAAATAAGTTCAGTAGAAAACATGCACTTGAAATAATACAATGCAGTTGTTTTTGTCTTATTTTAAATATAAGTTTTCATGTTCCATAGGTAAAGCGTCTCACTTACCTCCTCAATTCAAGAACAAATGCACTTATTTTAAGTTAAAATTACTTATTTAGGCTTCAATTTTTTCAAGTGTATTCCCCTGGTGTCACCCCCACACCATCTGGGTGTGTCTGTAAGGCTCTTATTTGGCACATCTGCTGTTTTTTTAAGATCTGGGCCCTAATCCTATTTGTTTATGGTTTAAAACACAGATGACACTGCAGATTGGAGCTATGAAATATGTGTGAAAGAATTGGAGCATGGGTATGTAATGTAGGTCAGCAATAAGGCAACACAAAGCCACAGGGCTCCGAAAATCCCTGTTCCAGACGCTGCCTTTCCTCCTTTTATAGTTAATCACCGTTTCTCCCAGAACAGGACTATAGAGTGCATTCTTTTTTCTTTTTTTTCTCTGAGTCGAGTGTTCAGTGACCAGAACAGAACGAAGGCTCCTCAGGCGCTCATTTTTGAGGAAGTATCCAGAAGACGGACGTATGAGAGGCAAGTAAGGAAGTTTAATAACAGAAGGAAACCCAAAGACGCTCAATAAAGAGGAAGCAGCAAAGTTTAACTTTAATTTGGTTTCTAAAATACGTATTCTGAGACAGAATGCAACTTCAAGTGTGACGAAACTGCAGCCGCCGCTTAGCCTGATGTGGCATCACTCGGGCTGACCACAGCTCAACAACGGTGTTATGACAGGAAGTGTAAGCTGATAAAAACTTCAGCTAAGTGTTGCACAATAAGCACCGTGTGTGTGGTACGAAGCTGCGCTAATCTCCAACAAATAGAACGCCGCTATTCACGCAAATAAACAGATGACTTAAGAGGAGTTAGGCCCCAATCCTGCTTAGCATTGCAACATCACCATTGACTGGTCACATACTGCAAGCTTCCCATTCGAGGAATGGATCGCCACACACTGACTTTAACGAACACATGACTGTCATGAGGAAATAAAGAATAGCTTTACGCCCAAATTGGTGAATTATAACTAGATGTGTGCTGACACAGACTGAATAGATACTCAGGCTGTTTCTCTGTTCACACAGCTAGACTTCAGTCTGATCCAATTATCCATGCAGTTTCCAATTACTTGCTGGCAAACCCCGATGCTACATTATACCATGAATATTTTCAATTTTGCACAGACAAAGCTTTTTAAAAGTTATGTTCCTTGGTTTAATGTTTTGAGTAACATTAGCAACCTTTTCAAATGAACTGAGATGCATGAATCGACTTTTCCGGTAATTTACTTCTGAATTGATGATAAAAGAAATGTCAAACTTTCCTTGTTTTGAGTTGATTTTTTCAAAATTATAATAAATCTTTTGGCCTTAGCTTTAAGAGCCATCATTTCTCAGATGTTAGCATAACTATAAACTGAAGGCCTAAAATTTCAAGTTATTAATGTTTGTGTCATATTTCCTTAATGTGGAGAGCTTTACAATAAGACAGGAAAAGTTCTGCAAGGTCCTGAGTTTTCTCTGTTCACTTTTTTGATGCAAAGTTCAGTTCAGTAGCTTTTAATTGTCCCAGTATGAGCAATTTTTGTGCAGTAGTAGTACACCTTTCACACACATGTTCACATTTCACAAATCACAGATAAAAAAAATAAAAGAAGAAACACATAAAATATTTAAAAAGCTAAAAGTAAGGTGGATAAAAAAGACAGAAATGTAAAAAAAAAATAAAAAGTTAATAAATATGTGCAGTGCAGGGGATGAATGAGAGCATAGGCCTCATACGTCACTCTTGGCTGCCCCTCTGCCACCCGTTGCTGACTGAGGGTTCCTAAACTGGGTGTGAGCTGTTTACAAGTATTAAGTTTGTCAGGATTTAAAACATTTTAACGCCACAAAAATATTCTGATCTACCATTTCTAGGGCTTTGTGTCATTTTAATATGATGCCAGACTTAGTGCCAGGTTGATCTGAGTTTTCTCTGACTGCATGGTTCACAGTAGCCTCGTGAGACCATCCTGATCTCGCGAGCTTTCAAGGTTTCACTCGCAGATCAGTCTGGAGACTCTCCGTTAAAGAAAAGTTGGAGCCGTTCACCAAACGAATGTCCAATCAGCGTTGGCTTTGAGGCGGGTTGAGGTATGACGCAACGAGAAGCGCGACAGTTCAGTCTAAAGAACATGGCAGCTTCAGCCGATGGAACTAGCGTTAGCGTGGCTAACGAGCAAGTTTTATCGGAATTACAGAGTATTTCTTCACTGAAAGAAGAGCAAAACACTGCTCTGGAGGCTTTTCTCAGAGGAAAAGATGTTTTTGCTCTTCTCCCGACTGGTTTCGGCAAGATTAGCCTGGCTTGTGGTTGTGTTTTCGTCGTCGCTCTGTTAGTACGTCATATGCTTCGTTGATCTGATTGGTTTATTTGGCCCGTCTATCACCAACATAGGCCAATCAGCTAACCAGTATTTTCGCCCCTTCCCAAAATTACTTCAACGGAAGGTTTCCAGATGGATATGCGGAGCAAATCCATCTGGCGGAGTCAGGTTAGGTTCAAAGTGGCTCTGCACAGCACATCCATTACCCAATGCTGCACATCAACAGTCAGTCAGAGCGACACATTCCTGTTGTTTTAACCACAAGAAAGTTTACTGTTAGGGAAGTAAAAACAAAGGAGCCCATAACTTATGGTGGGGTATTGCATTTTTTTATGTTAACTGTATTTATTTTTCATTTATTTTAATATTTGAAGAAATACCTTATTGACATACCATACATTATTATTGTTGACTTATTGTTTAAATTTTAAAAAAGTTGGATAATGTTAACTTTTTCTACATTTTTCAATGATTTCTTTCATTTTTCATACCACTTGTCAATTTACATTAATTTCAAAACGTTTTGTGCACAGCTGTCCAGATGCAACTTTTTAATTTCTGACACTAAGCAGATACCACAGCTTTATGCAACATCTGATACTGATACTGACCAGACATGAATATCAGCATGAATCATACACTCCATTATTATTTATTTTGTACAGTGGAATATCATTAAGGTTAGATAAAGTGATATTAGTTAAAGAACAATAGTCATCAGCAGCAGCTATGAGATCAGCAGACTCATTTATTATTAACCAAAGGGTTACATAACCTTTAAACAGAAGCTTATAGAAGTGGAGTGTTTCATTCAGCATGCTTATATCGGAGATTTAAGATGTAGGCCGACATATTCCTAGACTTGCTTTACGGCTTATATCAAACCATTTCCCATATCAATATCTAGTCAGGACATCCCTAGTTTTTATCTAAAAAAATGTTTTATTTACCTTTTTCTAATAGAGTAAGGTGTACAGGTGTAATTTCATTGCCTAGTTGCATCGTTTTGTATCGATGCATCGATACAAAACGATTATTATTTACACCCCTAATTGACACTGGGGCTCGACTATTAATTGCACTTCCAGTAAATCGCAATCACAATATTGATTGAAAATAATCGCAATTTTTTTTTTTTGGCCAAATTGCTCAGCCCTAATTGACACTATATGAATAAACTGTAGTGAATTGAAGTTAAGGTTTAGAACTACAGGGGCATGGCTGTTCAGCAGTTGACCTTAGATCGCTATTGCTGCAGACAGCCTGACTAACCAGCTAACACTGGCTTTGTATACCAGAATAAGTCTAAAAGAAAGAAACCAAAAGTAGATATTTTGCGTAATAACCACCCTCAATGTAGTGAGTGGTTTTACTGAAGATCGTTTATCAAAGTAGCTTTTGATAATCATGTCATGACAATTTTATCCAAACTCCAAACTGGTGTCAAACTCATCATAATAAATCATTCAAACTCAGCTGTTACAAATTTTTTGTTTGAAACAGTGAGAACAATGTTCATTTCTTCGAGCCTGCCTGGGGGGCATTTCAGCCTCTGTCCCTCCTGACCTCCTTGAACACAGAACTCTTTATGAGCAGAAAGAAAAAAAGCCCACTTTGTCACGTCCCACCTCAGAGCTTGATACATATGGATATGCGGGTCTGACGTAAGTACAGTCTGAGGGGCCTTGTGTCCAATCACTATCCAGCTCTGTCCACAGCTCAGCCTGCAAAGCTTATCTAAACCATCCACACATACCATTAGCTGTCCTTTCGTCAAACCTGTTCCCCATGCAAAACAAAGAGAAGCCTAACTGTATCCTT